TCATCTTAATCATAGAAAAATCTTAATAGACACTGAAACATAGAAAGCAATAACTTTACAGTTCATAAAAGTAAAATATTTCAGGATATTTTTAAATGTTTATGTCTGTTCTTTAAGCTCTATTTCTACCTCATGCTGCGATTGTAGGGAAAAGAATGTGTGTAGATGACTGAAATGAAACTGCTTTATTGTCTTTATTCACAACAGGAGCTTTATTTAGTGCTATGTTTTATAACTGTTACACTTTAGCTGTATGTATTAAAGCCCAATGAGTTTCTCTGCATGTTGAAAATAACTGTCATGTGAAATCAAGAGTTATACTTTTAGGTATCTCTGATAATACTTTTCATAAGATTAATTTTATGGTTCCATCAATTTTCCTGCTTCAAAATATGGCATTTCCTTAGACATTTGAAGGACTTGGACATATTCCCATGGCCTGAATTAGGCAGCAGTAGAAATTATTCCACATTGCATATAAGTGCCCAATCCAAGGAAGTATTGCCTTTTTAAGGAAGGGCTACCTCAGTTTAACTAAAACATATATCCTCAATCTGAAAAGCTGCTTTTAACACAACTACTGAAACTTCAAAGTCTCATAAAACTTCTCACCAAATTTGAGCCAGATGGTATTTTTCAGTGACAAATTGTTTTGTAAGAAAGTTCCCAAGTCTCATTATTTATTCAGAATAAAAGCTGTTGCGCCTACTCCTCCAAAATAATCTGAACAGTTTTCAGAATAACTCACTTCCTCCAGAATATTGTGCAAAAGGTATGTTCTATCTTCAGGTTTTAAAAGCTGCTTTGTAAAAACCAGTCTAATAAATGGATCTCTATAAAACTGTGCTCTGTGTTTTCTGCACAGCTCCTAGTGGGCAGAGGAAAGTAAAAATGAAGACTTAACAATGATAAATAACACTATATAAACATAAATGCCTATTGATAGAGATGTTATGCTGTAATTTCATCTTTTTTAAAAGATGATATAAAAAAAAAAGAGAGAACCTATAGCTGTGCTTCTATCCCTTCTATATTCCTTCCCACTGATGCTTCTGGGAGATTAGCTATCTCTAATCCTGAAATTTTCAAAGGCTTCATGGCACACATCTGCATACATATGCCATGACTCGGCGCATGGGCAAGATAATAAAAGCATTAAATTCAAGTAGAGTAGAAAATCACAGCTGTGGTAAGCATGTATTATCAATTGTGCCACATTCATAAATTAATAATTTGCATTGTATTACAGTGACTTCTTTTCAGAAGAATTAAACATGCCTATTCACAGATTGTGTGAAAAGCATGTAAATAATTCTTGTGGGTTCCTCTTTTTACAGCCTGTCTTTTTACAAAGAAGATTACAGAAGGAAAGTGGATTAGAATAAATAGCAGAAATTCTGCTTCCTCTAAAATAATTACATTTCTCCTATTTTGAGAACGAAATCAGAATATTTAAAATATCCTTGGTAAGTCAGTTCCTTGAATACAAAATTAATATCCATAGTTGAGGCTGCAGAGTTTATAAAAGAGAATAACACACAGTATTTGTATGTGTGTGTTGTGGTTTAAACAAAGTCAGCCATAAATCACACAGTCGCTCTCTCATTTCCTCCCCTTTTTGGCCTCCCCCTGCTCCTGGAGGGATGGGAAGGAGAATCAAAAGAATGCAACTCCCACGGGTTGAGATAAGAGCAGTCCACTAACTAAGGTATAACACAAATCACTGCTGCTACCACCAATAATAATAATGATAAGAGAAATACCAAGGGAAGAGAATACAACAACTCACGACCCGCCGAATAATAACTCGCCCCCACCCCACCCGACCAAGCACCGACCGATACCTAGTCCAACCCTGCAGTGCCCCAGCCCTTCCGGGTAACTCTCAGTGCTGTGGTATGGAATACTTCTTTGGTCAGTTTGGGTCAGGTGTCCTGTCTCTGCTTCCTCCCGGCTTCCCTTCCTCCTTGGCACAGCATGAGTCTCAGAAAGTCTTTGGCCAGACTAAAACATCGGTGTTATCAGCTCTGTTCCCAGGCCAGAAGCTGCACCAGCGCTGCACCAGCTACTAAGAAGGAGAAAAATGACTGCTACTGCTGAACCCAGGACGGTGTGTTCACATAATTTTTGGCCTGCTACTTTTTCTATTTTAGAAGAAATCATATCATAACTATGCTGCTCTTGATGACATTTTAACCCTCTTCCATTGCAACAAGAAATAAGGATATCTTATTTATAATTTAGAAATAATTGTTGTTAGATCTGTTAGATCTTCCAGCACTGTAAAAAAAACAAAAAGACAGAAAGACAAAAGAGGAAAGTTCTTTAATCAAAGGACTTAATGAAAAGCCTGATGCACACACGTATTTATATCTGTACTCTTAATTTATAGGAATGATGCAGTAGGAAACGCTGAGTAGATGACATGAGAATCATAGGCATGGAGGGCTGAAAAGCATAGCAGGGGATTGTCTGGTTTAACTCTACATTTAGGACAGGAAAAGCGTACTGGTGGCTGCCTAACTCATTGGGATAGGGAACTGCATCATGGGCAGAACTTTTCAGGAAGTCCTGGCAGATTGGTGCTCTGCCAAGCTCTCCCTGTCCTATGTTTATAATCTAACACACCCAATTCCCCCACCCTTTCTGCATCAGTCATATTTTCTTAACCTCTTTTCCTTTGTTGTTTTGTGTTTTTTTTTTTCCCCCGTATTCTCCATCTTTCATGTTCTTAGATTCATTTCTGCTGGACAGCTTCTTGGCCAGACATTCCTTATCCTGCATGTGTGCATTAGATTTATTGTCATCAAAATGTACCATGCTGCTCTTGAGCTTAGTGAATATTCCACACAATCTTTCCCATTTGCCACAGTATTCTGAATTCTGATTCTTCCAAAACTCTCTCTTCCCTTTCTCCAATCTCTGTCCCCTCCTCAAAACTACACATTGAGTTGCGCACATTTTGTAAGTACTCTCTATTCCATCTTCCAGGATGTTAAAAACACTGAATAGAACTACTTATTGTGATGACATGGAGAGGTTAAACAATACCCATTTCAGGGCACTGAATAAAAACACAAATGCAAATGCTTATTTGCAACGATATTATGTGTATCAGTTCAATTCAGGGCTAGCTCAATACAACTAAAGAATAATGAAGATATTTCTTTTATTCATAAAAGGGAAAAGAGGTGGTCAAATCAAATGTAGGCATAGCAGTTTGACCTCAACAATAAGCAAGGTCTTAGAGTAGATTTTGAAGGTAAAACTTATCAAGGACCTGGAGGTAAATGGAAAGTGGGAAAAAAAACAACATGATTTTATCAAGGGTAGATCATATCAGGCTAACTTAATATCTTTCTTTGATAAGATAATTGTCCCAGAGAGGAGTAATGCAGAAGGCTTAATCTACCTTTATCAAAATAAGGCATTATAGTGTTCCCTGTGGGAAGTTATTTAAGGTGGAGAAGGTGGGATTTAATGAAAGATTTGTAATGTTGAAAAGGAACTGAGTAAAAGGTTATATTAAAGAGGGTTCTGTTAAAAATAGAAATACCAAAATGAAATGACTTTGCTAATAAAATTTCTCTAGGACTTATCTTGACACTGATTTCAGTAGTATTGTTGGACTTGGTTAAAGTAGGAAACTGCCTATGGTATTAAGAGATGGCACAAAACTGGAATATGACTAGCATATCAGAAAAGAAATAAATGACCCTATGGACTGACAAAATGGAAACCTAATAGTATGGAAAGTGGAGGTGGGTGCTTTGGGATTAATATCACGTTCTTTTAGTATAAGCTGTGTCTTGATACTTGCTGGCGATAGTAAGGGGAAGAGGTTTAGTGCATTAGTCGGCTGTACAGTGACCACGAGCCATCATAATGTCATGGCTATGAAGCGGTTTCAGGGAATATTAGCTGAAGGATTTTCAGTGAAGATGATAAAGTGTTAACATTGCTTTAGAAGGCATTGGTAAGACAACTCTCAGAATGTTGTTTACAGTTCTCATGACCCACATTGATTCACAGCAGGTGCAGAGTGGGATGGTTAGGGGAAAGGAGTACCTATTTTCTCAGCTGAGATGAAAATAGCTTCTCTGGCAAAACAAAGCTTGAAAGGGCATATGGTTATATCTTTATAAGTATGTGTGGGGGTAGGTGTGAGAGAAGACGACTTGTATGCTAAAGGATAACACTATTTCAAGTTCGGATACTTACAAACAACTATGAATAAATAAGAAATTTAAAAGAAGGTTCTTGGCAATTTTTGCAAAGCTCTGGAACTGCTTTCCAGACAAGGTTATGGAGGTGGGGACCTGAACTACTTCCAGATGGAAATTTATAAATTAATGAAAGGATATGTGTGACATGGTGAAGCGATCTTGGGTCAGAATATAAAGTCTGTGATTTAAAGCGTTGGATACTCACTGACATTGCCAGACAAATTTAATGGGAAACTTGTTTGTGTACTTTTCTTACACAATCCCTAAACAGAAATGTTTTTAACTGGTCCACATGCCAGTTCTTCCAGTCTTCTGCATATACTTTTATGTTCCTTCTTGGTGCATATTATAGGAGAAGGGGGCTGCCCTTTCCTAAATGATAAGATTGGCAGCAGGTAAAACCGGGGCAGTTTGTTAGGATGTCAGGTGTTAATTGGATTGAACTTGTTTACATAGTCAAGGTTAAATTGATCACCTGATTGGAATCAGGAAGTAATTTTTCTCCAAGTTATATTGGCTGGAGCTATAGAGGATGTTTTTCTCTCTGCTTAACCTAACTGCTTGGAATGGGATGTAAGTTTTACCCTGTGAAATAGCTGCTTTTGCAGGCTGCTAAGATGTGGCTGGTCAAGAACTCTCATGACTTTAGTATCTTCTACTGTTCTCTGACACATTGATGTTTTTCAGCCTTTTACTCTCCTGAGGTACAAGGGGGTATGACTGTAACATAAGACATGATTACAGTATGCTACAAGACCTTTGTTGCTTTTTCAGATCATTCAAGAGTTTCCTCTGAACAAGAAAATTTTACTTTTTTGAGGTAGCATGGAGCTGAATAAGAGGCAGTCAAGGATACTTCATATATATTGGTAAGTTTTGAAAAAGGAAAGGTTGACCAGTTTTGTGGACCAGATATTCCTGAGACTTTATAGCAGAAAACATCCTTTAATGATGACTCTAGATCAAAGAATTTTAAACGCTATTTAGAGGACACCATAATGTCTTAACTGGGATTCTAAGGGCTTTTTAGCTTGGGTATTACACTAACACATAGATGCCTTATTACTAGATAACTGAGGCTTTTCAGACTTTATAAAATCCATTTTATAGCAACTACAGACACATTGTTTTCCTTCCTCATTTGGTTTCTTGACCGCTACTACTTGAAAAGAAATACTTGAAAAGTTATAGTGCTTTATCTCATTAAATGTGTAAGTAGTCTATGGCAATTAGGCTCCTAACTCACCTGTCATAGTTAAGTGGATACAATTAGTTAGATGTATGCGTGCTGTATTGATAATGCTTAGATCTAAAGACTGTTTTTTACACAAATACAGATACTCAGACTAGAGGCCACAAAGGACGTAGTGGTGTTAAAAATCTACTAGGTAATTCGGTGTGAATTATTGATATACCTACGCTTGTAGTGGCTCTGCTGACATCTTTCTTGCTGCTAATGAAAAACAAGATACTCGGTTTATCTCTGTGCTGTTTCTTGAGTTCTGAATAAGTGTACTCTGGAATTGTGCAGCTTATTTCTTATAACATGTATAATGGTATCGATGTACCAGTTCAAAGATGCAATTTACTTCTTGCAATCTAGGAGCCTGGAGTCTGAAAGTTTTTCTTAGAGCACAGATTAAAAAACAGCAGTATAATCTACTCCTACTCAGTCTGTCCCTCTCCCTACCTTTCCTGTCAGAAAAATAAAATAGCAGGTTCATAACTCATGTTAAATCTAGACTGTGTCTATTTTCTTGAGTTCTGTCTTGACATACTCAAATAAATTATCTTTCAGTGAAGAGATGGACTGAAACATTTATAGAAAATGAGTGTCTCTAAATGCGCCAGTCCTACAAAATCCTCATGAGTCCTTTGCTTTGAATTAAGCAAATTCTTTGTTATCTGCTGGCGATGCAAACAGCAAAAATCACCAGGTTTCTTTTCTTTGCCCTTCATAACATATCATATCATAAAAATCATCCTGAAGGATCCCTTCCTTCACCTTTGACTTTACCAGGTTGGACAGGGCTTTGAGCAACCTGGTCTAGTGGAAGGTGTTCCTGTCCATGGCAGGGGGGGTTGGAACTACATGAGTTTTAAGTTCCCTCCCAACCCAAACCATTCTGTGATTCTATGGTTGTCTCTGTGGAGTCCAGTCTAACAAGCCATGGAACCCTTTAAGCAACAGTTGACAGTTACACAGCATATGTAACTTTCTAAATCCAAATCCTCATTGGAGAGCTGTTACTCCCACACTTCTCAGTCCCTTTTGGCTACCATCTGGAACAGCAATAAACCAAAGCTAACTCTTTTCATTATCGTCTTAAATCCAGCTGAAAATAGCTCCCCCACCCCTGCCTAATAAATTGTGTGATTAAATTTCAGCTGAAAAGTTTCTGTTGAGTCATTGTTGTGGTTTAACCCTAGTTGGCAGCTAAACACCTCATGGCTGCTTGATCAATCTTTCCCACCCGCAGTGGGGAGAGAGTCAGAAGGGCAAAAGTAAGAAAACCTGTGGGTTGAGGTAAGAACAGTTTAATAATGAAAATAAAAATAATAAGAAATTGTAATAAAAAGAGGAAAAAAATGAAAGAGCAATAAAACCCAGGAAAAAAGAAGAGATGCAAATGAAAAACAATTGCTCATCTACCACCAACCAAATAATGCCATCCTGTTCCCAAGAAGCAGGCCCAGCAGTCAGCTTTCCCCCCAGTTTACATACTGAGCACGACACCATATGGTGTGGGGTATCATAGAACAGTTAGGGTTAGAAAGGACTTTAAGATCATCTAGTTCCAACCCCCCTGCCATGGGCAGGGACACCTCACACTAAACCATGACACCCAAGGCTTCATCTGACCTGGCCTTGGCTCCTTCCTTGCTCGTTTGGGGTCAGTGTCTCAGCTGTGTCCCCTCCCAACTTCTTGTATACCCCCAGCCTCCTCACTGGTAGGGCAGCATGAGAAGCTTCTGATCCAGGATCAGGGATGTGCAGTTCAAAGCAGAACAACCCATCACTATTAAAACCAAAATGTATTTTAGTAGCTCAGGCAGATGTTGTGGCCATCTTATGTGTTCAACCTAGTGATACTTGTAGGCTTTGCCTAAACACAGGTCTGTTATATGCACTTTCTTAGACTAACCTCTGGAGTATATACAGACAGATTTTGAGGATATTAGGCATTTCTCCAGGTTTCCCATGTATCTGGTGGTCTTGTCAGTGCCCCATATAAGCTTCTAGGTATCTGGAAGCTACGGTAAATGGTCCCTGCACAGGAATATATTGCATGGTTAGCCCAACATCAGATACATTTCTAAGAGCTGCGTTTGCAGAGCATGTGCATAGATACTCATCTTGTGAATCTTACGCAGAAATGCAGTGACCCTGCCTTGTTAAAGTGGTCTGCAATATAACACCCAGTTCTTTCTTGTCTTGAAAATTGTAGACTTCCTTGGGAAACCTGACTTTTCTCCAATCATTGCAGAAATAAAAACATTCTAGAGTGGTTTTAAGGTACAGTAAACTTAGTTCAGCAGCCAAGTGCTTTATTTCAGTAGCTTTTTTTCAAAGGGGAAGCTGTCTTCCAAGTTTTCCATAAAGTACCATTTGAATGTTAAAAAAAAATCTTATGCAGATAGTCCTGACAGTCCATTCACACAGTTATTCAAACCATGAACACAACTCCATTTGATCTTTATCACAAAGCTCGAAGTAGAACCATGTTGGCCCCTAGCCACTGTAAGATTTCTGTTTGGGTATACACCAAATCTACCGCTCAAGTCTGGGCTAGCATTGCAAATCATGTGCAGGAAGGTAGCCAGGAAGCCTGCATCAGTTTGCCCCCTCTGGCTGACCAGTACCTGTCAGCCTGGTCATGAAGTAGACTGATAGATGGATACGTTTAGGCCTCCCTGCCATGTATTCACGTTCATAAGCATTTTCCTGTCTCAGAATGTCACAAGATTACGGATACCAACATCTTGGCAGGATCCAGAACTGTAACTAAGTCCATGTCTTTTTACTGATGCCTTATCCATTCTGATTCACCTACAGTTTAGGATTCATTTCCTCTGGACTCCCGCAAGTTAAAATCATCACCTAAAGATGCTCAAGGGAGTTAAACAGACTGAGGGAACCCTCTGTGAGCTTGACATCTCTTTTAAATATTTTTAGTCAATATTCATCAACTGGGATGTTCCACATAAAGTGGAAAACTTAAAGAAAGAGCATTTGTGGTTATTCATGGCAATCTTGCAGGAAGAATGCTTGTGGTTAATGCCTCAGGGTGGGGGAATTACATTATCTTCCTGCAGGGATTTTTGGCTGTTTTTTCCTATGGGTTCTATGGGATAAAATTTGATTTAAAAAAAAAAAAAATTATTTTCACTTTTTAAAACTTCTAAAACTCATTTTTAAATTAATATTGACTGAGCAGCCAACACATTTTCAGTTTTCCTTCAGTACATTGTCTCTATGCTGAAGTGATCTATTTCAGATGTCTGAAACCAGGCTGAAACCAGGACACTGAAAAAGTATTGCTTAATGCCTGTAAGCACTGTCACAAATCAATAACTTTGAAATTTGTTCTATTTGTACTTTAAGTTGGGCGTATCACTTTAATTCACTCTGTTTACACCAGAATAAAAGTGGATATGCACAGCTGTCACAACGCACATGTATATGTTGAATAATAGTCCTTTAAATTGTAGAAAGAATATAACTTTGATGTTTGCAATATTAACTGTATTTTTATGGAAGCTCTGCAAAAAAAAAGTGCAAATTCAAAATGTCACAGGAAAGTGCTTTGTTTTGGTGGTTAAAAATAACCTGTGGACAGTGACCTCAGTCACACTAAAATAATGTTTTCATATAGAAAGTATTTTAAGAACTTATTAAACATATAATTAAGGAAGAAAAACCATATTTTCAAGGTATTTTATGTGGGCAAACAATTAGCAAAGCAGTGCTGTTAATAACACCAGCTTTTAACAGCAAGAAGAGCAATGCAAAAGAATTCCAAATTGTGTTATGAGAAGAAAGGATGTTGAATTTGTGAGTTGTATTTTCCAGCAAACACAGGCAGCCCTGCTGAAGTTCAGTTTTCATGTTGCGTAGGTGTCTGCATCTTGAAGATGAAATTTATTCACTCTTGTTATTTGATACATAAACTTTAGGACTTTGATCATTTATCTGTGGTGTCAATTTAGTGATAATGGGATTGTTCTAAGCATTTTGAACAAGTAAAATTTGAAGAAGCTTAAGCATCCAAATGTGAGAATTAAAATAGAACAGTGTTCTATCTGTGAATTAAAAGACTTAACCAATTAAGCTGAATATTTAGATATTTTAATGCATTTTTAACCAAGGCTGTGGTAATGCAGTGAAACAGATACCCTGAGATGATCAGCTTTCTGCTTCTCCTTGTGTTCTCCAGGACTCCAAAAACTACCGTGGCCCAGCCAACTATTCCAAAAGCAAGTAAGTTTATGTGCCATCATCTACCAGTTGTTTGATATTTAGAATGGAGATTCACTCTCTCAAAATGTCTTCACCAAAACTTGTTTGATCTTAATGTTACAGTAATTTCTGCACTTCTAGCCAAGACTGTAGCCTCCTTTATAATTCTCTGAACAGTGTCAAAGTACTGCCTGCTTCAGAGCATTTACTACATATACAGTCAAGACCAAAACAGAGGACAATTATGATTACCCAGTTGACAGAAAAATCTGAACCTTAAAGATCTAAGTACAAGGATATATTCAAGAGAAACGCACAAGCTTCTCTTCCTGAGGATGTTATGGTTTAGGACAGGGCAGACTAAATACATGCATGAATTTCTACATGATAAATGAAACAATGATCAGAATTATTCTGTGCATTAAGTCAGTCAATCACACAGGCTACAAACAGTCAAATTTATAGGAATGTGGTTAGCTCTGCTTCCCCTTTTCTTGCTCATAGGAGCTGCAGTTATTAGTAACCTGGAAAAGCACGGTGTTACATGCGGTGGTTGTGAGCTTGGTCCCATGCATCCCTGGAGGTTATCCTCTGTCAGGTAACCCTGAAAGTTCAGCTGTGCTACCCCTAAATTGGAACTCCTTTGTGTCTGTTTATTTTTCTTGCTTCCTTTTTTTTTCATGTATAAAAAAGAACTCAGATGTGCTGTGCTGGTGTTTTGCAGTATCCTGGCCGTGAACCTGTCAGGATGTTCTGACTAGCTCCAGTCATATGGATTAAAAAGTAAGCAAGTTCAGAAATCACAGAATTGATCACAAGTGCTTTGGATTTTTGTAATTCTGCGAACATCATGTTTACATTTCATTGTGGCAAGATGCCATTACTGTACATGTTTAAACTATTTAAAATAATGCATTATTTTGTTATAAATAGTGATCTACTGCTTAATTAACCAAGTCAAAAACTTCAAAGGGTCACGCTGTGGGCATGTAAGTAATCTGTGATGGTTTTAAATTTCATCTAAAATCTTTACATTTTATCTTAATATTTTGTCTGGAAACATGTATTTTTCTTCTTTCATAAATTAATAAATCCTAAATTCCTATGAAAACGAGTTCACCAGAAACTTCTTTTCCTTACTTGGGGCTGCTGACTCTTAGCCTTTTTGCCATTTATAAAATAAATTACAAGGTTCAGTTTCTCATATCTTCAGCCATTGTTGCATTCAGAAATATGGCTTTTAGAAATGTTTTTTTCAGGTATGGTTTGTAAGAAACAAACACATAGATATTGGACAGTCTTGTATGCTAGATTCTCTTCCAGTTTATAGTACAAGGTTGGTTGTTAAACTTTTTTAGGGTCAGGACATTTGTCTTCTCAAGTATTTTACAGGCATACTACAGGTGAATCTCCGCAGTCTGGAGCACATTATTCCCTTTAGTAGACCAATAGTTATTCACCAGTGTCCAGGAAAACCTGAGCTAGCAGGATTTAAATGAAATAAAATTGAAGCAAAGTGTAAATTAAAATAGGTCCTCATTTAACCTGCATTTCCCCCCCCCCCTTTTTAAAAAAAAAATACACTTTGAATTGCTGATCTCAAATGTTAGAAAGGTATTGCAGGACAACAGAAAAGATGTCTGTGTTGTTCTCCTTGGCTTGGCTCCTGCATGCAGACCATCTAGAGGAAGGAGGACTGAGAAGCTTCTGCAGAGGATAGCAGGGCAGGCATGACAAAATCAACAAGGACTGGAGAGATGAGCGTCGAAGGTTTCTAAGAAGCACTGAGTGTCCTCTCTCTGAGTGCCCGAATAGACCCAAAGGCAAGCCGTAGAGGTGAGACAAAAAAGAAAAAGACTTTAGTAACACCAGGATAATCTGAGTAAACGTGGTTCAAATCAGGAAACCACTTGGAGAAAAAGGTTTGTTCCATCCCTGCAGTAGTATGGGAAAGGTTTGTTTTCAAACCTTGTGCTTAGTCAAGCCCACCTGGCTAAAATGAGTTTTCCCTACTAAAAAAGAATCATAGAATTGAATTAGAATTGGAATAGACCTTAAAGCTCAATCACTTCCAAACCCCTGCAACGGGCAGGGACACCTTTTGCTAAAGCAGGTTGCTCCAAGCCCCATCAAACTTGGCCTTGAACACTGCCAGGGATGGGGCAGCCACAGCCTCTCTGGGTAACCTGTGCCAGCCTCGCAGGGAAGAATTTCTTCCTAATGTCTAATCTAAATCTACCCTCTGTCAGTTTAAAGCCATTCCCCCTTGTCCTATCACTACCTGTCTTGTAAAAGGCTCCTCTCCAGCTTTCTTTTAAAGCATGCATTATTGTTTTTCAACAGAACTATGTCTGCTAGTAAAACTGCAGGATAGATGCAGGCATTCCATCATAAAAGCTTTTTTTATTGGTGTTACCAGCAGGCAACTGCATCCATCTAAAGAAAGTGCTGTAGATTTAACTGTGCGTCACATTATTAAACCAGGAAAAATTCTTTAACAGGCTGTAGTTGATGTAATGAACACTTGTGGAAAAGCATGGAGGGAAAAAACTGCAAGTAACATCAGTTGTGACTCTAGCTTTCAGACTTGCCTTTCAGAGTGCCCTGTCGTGATTACTTCAGTATGTGCAGGGCTCAGCGGGTATTCTCCTGCCATTAGAATCTTACAGAAGTAACAGCAGAGAAGCCAAATAATGGGATTATGTGGTATTTTAGTAGAACAAACACGTCTTGATTGTCTACACTGTTTCCAGCTGATAATCAATTGGATTACAGGAGAATTAGCTCGTCATGAGGTTCTTCCTAAACTATATGTATAAAACAAAGTACGTGTTAATTAAGAAGCTACTGTTGCTGACTAAAGATATCTTTAGCCTTTTTCATCCCATATTACCGAGTACTTTTTATGATTAAACAAAACCACACAATCCTCCCCGAAATCCCAACAAGCCACACCCCCCACACACACTCTCCCCCCCCAAAAAACCACAGACCAAACAACCCCCCAAATATCACTGTACCTTTAGTAGAGAGGGTGCTACATGTAGTTGATAGTGGCTATCTAGAACAGTCAGTTTTGCTTTCTTTGTAGGACAAATTCTCAAGGCATTTGCAACACTACTTTCTTCCACTTCCATTTTTTCTTGATCTCCTTTCACCTCCAATATAAATATCTTGAGAGTTTTTGTACCCTAAATTTCTCACCTCAGAGGAAGACCGATCAAACAGAGATTGTAGAAATTAACACTGACAGAGTCGCTAACATTTTGAGAAACTTCCAATAAAATTACAGTTTTGGTGATACCATCAGGAGAAAAATTGACTTTACTCGTCAGGGCTAGTCTAGCAAATGTACAGTTTTGAACATCCAAGATGATAATTTCGCCTTTGGTCACTAAATTCTGAAATGCCTTTAACCTCTACTCATCTCTTTCGACTTCCCTAAACAAAGCAGGAGTCAGGGCAGATTTGAACCTACAGTTTAGAATAAGATATGTACCGTAAGTGAAAGCAAAATGTTCTTCTATGATTTAATAGTCTTTGCTCTGTAAGTGTGCGTATATCCAGTGTAGCATGAACAGGGAAAGCTGAATACCCATCACTAGCTAGAGCTGTGCACGTTTGAAAAGAGAATCTCACCACTTCTTATACATCATTTTATACACAGACATATTACCACTTGCAATTAAACATGGCGGGAGGAAATGAACCTACATATAAGTGAAACAGTCTGGAAATATAAAATGCCAACATTCTCAGTTTTTGCACTGGTTTTCTCAGATGCTCTTCAAGAATCTGATTTCAATGTTCTGAAACGCTACTGCTTTCCACAATTAAGTTTTTAAATCTGCCTGAATGTTGTATTCTTACAGCAATAGACAATTAGAATAAGTAATTTTCTAGAGCTTTAGTACTTCTGCAAAGACTATGAGGTTCATATGTATGTGTAAAATGTATTTTACACGGTATAAGGTAGGTTTTCCTGTCAGGATTGCATGGTTTCCACAGGAGCAAGTTGCTGGTAAATTTGAAAAGACAAAAGGAATGTTTCAAGTTAACAGACCAAATTGTTACCTTGGCTGAATCACACTAGCCGTTGTAGCCCATGGAATGGTAAAGGTTGATGCTGCTGGTGTTCAGAAGCTGAAGTTTCAAATGATGCTGTTCTAGCATCTGGATCGTATTGCTTTAAATTTTCTAGGCACGTGAATTATTACTACTTAATATATTATATTTAATATTTTTCGATCTTTTATACTTTTACCTAACTGTGTCATATCAAGTTTCTTTACTAACTATCCTTTGTGGAATTCGGCATGTTTTGCTGTAGGGGCACGTCTCACCTTTCCCACGTTAGCATGAATTGCCTCTACGAACAGCTAGGGGGCTGTATTATTCCATTTTTAAAGCAGCAAGACATAAACCGAGGGATACAACTAGTGTCGGCCTGTCTTTAACAACTTTTTCCTTACCAGTTTGGGCAAACATCAATACCTATGCCTGTATATCAGTATTTAAAGTTTGATGGAGTCGTTTGTATAAGATAAAGAACTTCACAAGGGGCTGCAGTTTTGTCCACATTTTCAAATCCTTAAGGGTAACTAATATGTTGTGTTTCTTTACAAGCTCACTGCATTGCGCTGATTTAGTATTTATGTATTCCACTGAAATCATAATAAGGTCACATATCACATATGAAGTCATGGACGAATTTTGCAGCTTGCTTTTGTTTTCTTTCTTTCTTCCAGGCGGTCTGATACTACATAAAATCAACCTCTGGCGAGGACAGGGAAAGCAAGAGTTTAGGAAAAACTTCCTGGCCAAGAACTGCTGTGGGAATCCACTCCCAGATCTGATTAAATCAGGAGGTTGAGGACGACTTTCTTTTCTTATACTTTTGCGTCAATTAAGTCGCTCTGTGATCTGGATTACACCTCCACATGTTTGTTATTTGATTACTGTGTGAATGCTCATTGCTTACTTTGCTTTTGTTTTATGTTTTTCTGATAATTTCCTGAAAGCCTTAAACCGAAATAAATGACAGGTTTAGTAAAAACTCCATCTTGCTTTTGTGCTGCAAAAGCCCATTCAAGACTTCATAAGCCCCTCAAAATTGATTTTTGGAGCACTGTTATTTAATCTGTCCTTTACACAACTTTAATTCCTTGAGCAAATCCTTCTTGCCTTATTCCCACCACCAGGCACTTTGACTTCATGGTAAGCTGATAAATGTAAGACAAAAAATGCAGTTCAGATTGTTCTCCCCCAGTCCCTAGTAATTCTCTGACTTGTCTATTCTCCCTTTCTCATTATTGAACAAAGCCTCCTGTGTAAACACTACTTTCTGTGCTCCCACGGCACACAGACGTTTTCCCATCAGTTGCTTGCTCTCCCCCACCTGCCATATCTGACTCATTAGTTTAGCTTCAGCTTTGCTTCACTTATTCATTCCCCAAAGAACTGTACTTGAAGTTCACTGCCCCGTTCTTATTCTCAGCATCTTTTCTCTTCACCTACCTCCCAGGCCCGCAGATAATAATACTGTTTAATGTTCCCTTGTCTCAGTGACTCCAACTCCAATACTTTCTTGCCAGGGTTCAATCTCTAAAAGAAGGTCTATGGCAGGGGTGAAGGGAATCTTTGGGCTAACTGTGGCCCAGCCAGTTTATTAATTCAACCTTCCTGTCAGCTCACCACTACATTGTTACCTGAGATGCTGCCGCCGGCCACATCAACCTCAGTGCTCCAACACCACAGCTTTTGCATATGGGACTGGCTGCAGAACAATGACTGCATTTGAGTCAGTTCTTTTTGCTTGTGAGAGATTGCTGTAGGAGAAAATCCAGTAAAACTGAAAACCCAGTATTCTGACATCGCACCCCTCATAAAGCTGGCCTCGAGTACCATATGGTTCTGACTACAGGTGTGGTTTGAAGCTGCTGCTGTATTCAGAGCATCTGGGTTCAGCCTGCGAGGCGACAGGAAGCTTAAAACTACATATACCTAGGGGTTCACTTATCCCAGCCTGCTTGGACATAACAGTGTTTGAAGCACTGTTTTTTCTTATAAGTTTTAGTGTCAACTAAGCCCTCTATCCTCATTAAATTGTATTTTCTTTATTAAAAGTTTTCAGTGAAAGAATACCAGCTAATCCAACTAACTAGAAAGAACAAAGTAAGTAAAATCATGTAAAGACTGAAGTATTAGCTGTTAATGCTGGCAGTAAGTAACTTGAAGTAGTTAGCACTTTCTTCCACATTATTTATATTGTAAGGGCCTTTAAACAATAATTCAGTGGTGATTATGTTGTCATCTGTCTTCTAACAAAATGCTTGTTCCTACCAGCTGTACTTCTTTATCAAACTTCTTCATAAAACTCAACAGAATAGAAAATAAGCTTAAGTATCTTGAAAATGTTCACATTAAGGACTTCTGTGTGTCTTTTTTATTCTTCATTTGACTGAAGAGCCTTATGGTTTGAGCCATTATCAGAAACAATTTGTAGGGTGGACCTTGGTTTGACTGGAATCAACCACTGACTTAATTTTACCCACAGGGGAAGTAAAAGGCAGCTGGAAAAGAATGCGAAAAGAGCAGGAGGATTGCTCCAGCCATAGGGTGTCTTATGGGGTTTGTCTGATATTTTAAATCCTTTAAGACAATGACTATGATTTGTAGTTAAGATTTATGGCAGAGTATGAACAGGCAATACTGATACAACATGGCACTTCAGGGAAGCTATGTATCTTGTGTGTTGATGTGGCATCAGTCCAGCACGTAAGTGATCCGCTATGAAGAGAGTAAAGTACTTGTGTTGTCACAGCACTAGTGGGACATGGAAACTAGTTTAGTCATAGAGGGAAATGATGGCATCCAGAAATCAACTTGAAAATACTGAAAATAAGTCGACAAAGCTTACAAATAATTCACTCTCTGGAAGAAATAAAGAAGAATGGGCAATTTCTGCTGTGGAATGAATGTCCTTGTGATTTGCAAGAAGCTTTCTCAGACCTACAGTCCTGGCACAGTGTGCAGTGGCAGGAAGTTCCAAACAACTGTATGTAGTATGGGCTTTCTCCTTGAATATTTTTTTTATGTTTCCAACACAGGGCTGCACTTTAAACTTCTCTGGATTAAGACATTTTAACCTTTTTTCACTTTGGGTGATAATTTTTCCAGAGGGGAGTCAAAATATTGACAGGAAGAGTGTTTAGTGGCAATAGTCAGAGTTTTGGATGCATGCTTTCCAGCTGCCCTGTTATCTCTGAGCTGTCAGTAGCATTTTTGACTTTGAACACTTGAAACATGATTTCAACTTCACTGTAATAGTAAATGCCCCACAAAAGTTCTGTTTTATAATAGTGAATATAGTTATTAATGCAGAGATTTGCAATGCATTGCTTTTATATGCCAAATAACCCTGTGTGTGTATATATATGCATTCAGGACATCAATGCATGAATGGTTTTGTAAATAGTGGCCTGGGTTTCAGTCTTCTTTTCACTTGCCTTGCTCTGCTGTGAATGTTGTAGCTATTCCTGACTTGTAAATAGCAGGAGAGTAATACTACCTGTGCATCAGACAGATATACAAAGCTTATCACGTGCCATAATGGTGTCAAAATTATCAGTGAAGAAGTAATCACCTGCCTCTATCACCTAGTTCAATTTGTACTGAAGTGTTTGGGAGGCCAACCTGCTTCATTAAATGCCAGCTAGTTCAAAAGCTGAAGGTGTCTTGAACCATCAATGCCATCACCAATTTAGCACCTCCTCCTCTAGAAATCTGGTCCTTGTCGTTGTTTCTCCAATTGTATCCTTGTACATGTAGCAGATAATAGATATTGCGACCGTATAAGAGCATATCCCCCTTCACATTAAACCACCAAGGCAGGCTTGTGACTTAATCAGTTGCAATTTGACATCGCTACTATGACTTCATGGAGAGAACGGATGCTTTAGACAGTTCAGGGTTTTATTTATTTTTGATAGGATTGCAGATCTGTCTGTTCAGAAAAAGTGGCAGGAGAGGAAAACAAACAAACAAACAAATATAAAGCTTCCACTCGGGTTCTGTGGCTGTCATATCCGCTGTCTCTCCTGGCATATGCTAAGCTTTTAAGTAAGTGTTTCTGAAGTACCTTACAACAGTTTAGCTCCATCTGCCAGCCAGTTCTCGCTATAAAAGTGGCCAGCCTAATCATCTTCCATCTCATGAGGCGAGGGAAACTCCTTTAGGCAGAATTTATTGTGAGTGGAAGCAAATTCCTTAAGTCAATGGAACAAACAGCCCATAGACAGAATTGCCAAGTAATGTATATACTGATTTTTTTTTTCTTTTTATTATTATTGGGCAGCAGCTAAAACATAAAACGACCTGAACCAAATTTTCCGCGTATGAAAACAAGGAAATCTGGAAACCGACGCTATTTTAGGCTAATTGCGTTTTGTTGGGTTTCAGAGGAGCGCTACATAGTAGCAACTGTGGGAAAACCACTAAATAGTTCTCTGTTTGAACCATCTGTCTCGACTATGGGACATATGTTCGCTTTGTTTATTCAGGAACCAAGTGGAAGCCGATACACTCAGCTCGGCCCCGGCCCACGGATGGCCCGCGCAGAGCACCGCGCGGCGCGGCGGGGATGCGCACCCGCGGTCCCGCCTCCCCCCGGGCGGCGCTTCCTCCGCTCCGCAGGCGCGGGGCCTCCCCCGAAGAGGGCGGCAGGGGGAAGGCAGGCGGTGCGCTCCAGTGCGGTCCTCCCCGCCGCTCCTCCGGGTGGCAGCCGGGCTCCCGGGGCTTCCCTCTTGGGCGGACGAGAAGCCGAGTCACCCCCGCCGGGCGCAGGCAGCAGCACCGGCCCCGCCACCCCTCCAGCAGCTCGGTTATTTGGCGGCGGCTCCCGCTCGGAAGCGCCTCTGGAGCGCCGTGCCCGAGGGCTTCCGCAAGCGCGGCCGCTCCGCCCGGGTCGGCGGAACCAGAGCAGCCGCTCCCTCCGGCGCTGCGCCGTCTGCCGTCCCAGTTCCCGCTGCCAAACTTTCCCACCACTGCCGGCAGCAGCAGCAGCACCTTCCCCCGGCGGCGGAGGCGAGCGCACCGCGCAAGCTGCGCGCCACCCCCCCGCGCACCGCCTCCCTGCGCAGGCGAATAAATAAAGTTGCTGTGTGAGGAGAGCGGAAGAGGCGAATCGCCTGCGGGCGGCTCGGGCACCCCAAGGAGCCGCAGCCGGGAGCTGCAACTGTCTGCGGGGCTGCCAGCGGCTCGCCCCGGGTGCGCGCCCAGGGGCGGACGGACGCCGCTGATCTCGTCCCGTCCCCCCGTCACACCCCCCCCTCCCTCCCGCCTCGTGTTGCTCTCGGTCCCTCCCTGGGAACAGGCGCTGCCCACCCAAGGAGGCGACCGGCGCTGGTGCCCGGCTCCCGCTTGCTCACTCGCACACACATATACCCGTGCGTGCGCGTCTCCCGCGCTCTCAGTGAAGTCGGGGCTTGTGTCTCCAGGTTGCTCAGACCTGAAGTCTGAGGGAAAACGCTGAGCGTTTGCGTGGCTGCTCCTGCCGCTGGTGCTGGGAGCGGTGAAGAGGAGGGAGGGGTGGGTTTTTTTCGTTGTTTTGTTGGGTTTGGGTTTTGGTTTTTTTTTTTCTTACTTTCCCTTTAATTCAATGGATCTGAACTTGGAACCTTTGGACCTCGGCGGTTTTGGAATATCTTCATGCTGATCTTCCTTGTTGTGACACATCAGCTTGTTTGGGGAAACCATCCGAAGACAGCAAGATGTTCCTCGTTATCTTGTACTTCGCTTTGCCCTTAGTGGGTAAGTTGCTGGCGTCTGATTTCTGCCTCTACATCGCTTCATAAAGCAAAGCGTGGGGTTTATGGGATCGGATGCCTGACGGTTGTCAGTCTATTGTTTAGGCAGAACAGTGAAGTTTCCAGTAGTTTTTATGGTTCTGCCGCGCATCAGTTAGCCGAGTCTACGCTTAAAGCTCTGGGAGACTACAGACTGAGATACTCGCCTGCGTAAGCCTCTTCTTAAATCGGGTACTCGCAAGTTACAGGAAAACTTTTCATTTTAATAAAGCTGCTTGTGGATGGGGGGGGGGGGGGGTGGGTGACAAGAGCCAACTGAAACATCTTCACCTGACCCTGGCAGCCTGCTCGGCTGCGAGTGGTTTGCAGCCTAGACTGGTTTCCTTTCCGCGGGAGATGTGTGCGTTTCTATCATCTCTGTGTGTGTCTGGGAGAGCGTGACAGGGGGCACGATGGAGACGAGAGAGTTAATGCAGCTTGCTTTGTTCTCCTGCAAAAGCATCATACGTGGAGAGAAATGGAGGGGGGAGTCATAAATTCTACCTTTATACATGTAGAATAAGCAGAAATGTGTACAGCCTTTGAAAAGTGATTGATGCAAAGAGAAGCCAATATCAATCTGTGAGGAGGATACTTGCCTCTCTGAGAGGGTTGTTTGTGGATGTAATTGAAATTACAGCAGAGCTGTTGTGGAAAGTGAAGCTGAATATTTAACCCCTCGGTTAAACACTGCAACGGAAAGGTTATTTGTTCCACCAAAGCGGGTCTAAGGAATAACGAGTGCTTGTTTTGTCTGGCACATTAACCCCTGTGGATCCTCTTTTCTTTCTGTGTTTTCTTATAAATCACCCATCAGGGTTAAAACATCCTGGTTCCTTGGGCTCCCACAAAAGTGGATCTAACACCTCGAAAGCCCCATGTGCTTTTGGTGTAGGGTGAACCCTGGAGGTTTGCAAGGTGCTGCCTATGGGGCTGGCCGCATGTGCTGCGTGAGGAGGTGCCTTGTACTTCCCAGACACCTGCTTTGGAGCCCTGCTTAAATCAGCCTCAGCTCTCAATGAGAGTTTGTCGGTTTGTGTCCCCTCTCTCTAGATGTACTTCTGTCCGCAGAAGTGAGCGCGCTGCCTGGAGGGGACCGCCTGGATTGCGTGAAAGCCAGCGACCAGTGTCTCAAGGAGCAGAGCTGTAGTACTAAATACAGGACACTGAGGCAGTGTGTAGCCGGCAAAGAGAGCAACTTCAGCCGGGCGACAGGCCTGGAAGCAAAGGATGAATGCAAAAGCGCCATGGAAGCTCTCAAACAGAAATCTCTCTACAACTGCCGCTGCAAGAGGGGCATGAAGAAGGAGAAAAACTGCCTGCGCATTTACTGGAGCATGTACCAGAGCTTACAGGGTACGTTGCAAAACACAGAAACCTTACACTTCCCTAATGCTGTGTGTGATTTTGCAGCCGCTCACATCCAGTGCTAGTTACAGCCACTGAGGCTAAACCCAGGGTCTGACCCCCTAATTCGCATTGTGCTCTTCAGCTGCAAACTGAGGACCTTTCATCCGACTCAAGAACAGCTGCTGCTCCGTCTCCTGTTGTTGGGAAATCCACAGTGAGGGTTTCCTCCAGGGGACCCAGCTGACCTTTCTAAACCAGAGTCAAAAGATAAGGGCACTGGCAAGTGCAAGAGCTACAAAAACAGTCATTTGGAGACATTTTCCTAATAATATTTAGGACTCACCTAACAAGACCACTGGAACTAGTTTCTTAGCTCTTTGCTGAAAGTTAAATGTAATATGAAGAGGAGCATTGATTTAAGGGGAAGTTTATTTCCTTTCCTTTCCTGCGTTTACTAACAATATTTCCTGGGCATGTTGGGGCAGAAAAAAAGAAGTCTGTGAGTGTGTAGAAGTGCCACTTGGAAGGGTTATGACAGTGATTGACTGGGGACTTATGTTCCTGATGTCACTGGCAGATTTCTCACAGTCTACTGAGAGCAGTCAGGTCCTTACATCAGATATATAATGTTTAGCCCTGTTTTGCTGTAGCCCTGCAGTTGAAAATGAAATCTTTCATTTCAGTGTGGTCCCCATTTAACTGTTTTCTGTAGCTGCTTCTGCAAAAGGGGAAGACATCCCTTTCTGTTCATTTATGCAGGCATCAACTGGAACATTTTAATGAGTCAATACATATATTTTTTAACTTGCATAATAAATTATCCTACTACTCTTGGATGTTTCTGTATCATATAAAGTTTCCCTTCCAACAGCATCTTGTTAGGAGTGTTTTATTCCAAAGATGCTCATTTTTAGCTTTTAGATGGGCTGCTCCTCCAAAAAAAAAAAGAGCTTTGCTCTTAGAGGAGTGGATGAAGAGGAGCATCCTTGCTACAGATCCGCTCCTGCTGGCATGAGATGGGACAGTCCCTGTGATGTCACAGGCTGTCTCTGCAAATTATGACCTTATCCGTGGAGGAAGGGGAGAAAATAGTGACAGGGATAAACAACTTCTTTCAGGTGTTTTTATAGATAATGCTTTGAGGAGAAATAGCCACATAAACAGATTAAGGGCGAGTACGTTTTGCTGGTCCGGAGTAACTTCAGAGTAAAAGTAAACAATAAAATCTTACCCTGAATTCTCATCTAAGAAAACAAATCCAAACTTTTTTTTTTGTCTTTAGGAAATGACTTGCTTGAAGATTCCCCTTATGAGCCAGTTAACAGCAGGCTATCGGACATATTCAGGCTAGCACCAATTGTATCAGGTAAGCAGACTCAAAATTCGCTGACTGAAAGGTGATTACAGTCTGCTGCTTTCTAGTTGAGCTATGGTGCATGCAAGCAAAACTCTCTTGAATAAAAAGAAGGGTTAATGGTTGTGGGTTTAGGAAGTTCATGATGTCGCTGTGCAGAAGAAAATACTAATTGCTTTTGAAACGATAACTAAAACTAAAAGGCAGGATGGCAGTTTGTATTCTTCTTGAGTCATTCCTGACAATAAATGCTAAGTTTTCCTGTAGGTGGCAATCTGATTCCCTGCGTTCCTAATTTACAAATCAGTTCCTTTTGGGGAATGTGGTCAGAGCAAGTTACCTCCCATTGACATTAAAGAAGATCAGAAGATAAAGCTTTCAAATGTTTGCATAAGGGAATGCTTTATAGTTTCGTACATTTTTTGTTTAAAAAAGCCTGAATTCTAAAATTTCTTCTTTCCTGGAGCTGCCTCTTTAAAGAGCCTCTTCACAGCTTCCTTCCTTGCCTAGTTTGTCTCTGAACAGTTTTTGCTCCTGTGTGGCTGTCTTTCAGAACTTGTTTATAGACGTTTGAATAAGTTGCTCTGCTCTTTGGTTTTTACTAGCCTAAATTACAAAGATTTTGGATCATATTTATTAAAACAGTGACTTTTGGGGCATTCAGAGGGGTTATTAATTCAGTTGGCATTAATTTTCTGTTTTGGAGTGTGAGAAAGTCTTATGAGCATGCAGTCTGTACTCAGGACCTTTGTTTAGCTCCATAAAAAGCTGAATGTGTGTAGTATAATATGTAAGTCTGACAGCTGAAGCTGTAGTTAACTGACATGCTGTGGATAAGTATTAGTGGATGGCTCTTTAGAAGAAAGAAGAAAAGAGCAGAAAGAGTGGCTTGACCAATTTTCGGAAGTACTTACTCTTTTCAGGACCCTTAGTCTCATTGAAAGCCAGGGGGACCTAGGTTGTTAAGTGTCTAATGGTACAGGTTTTCAAAGGCATATAGACACATAAAATGCAGATAACTGCCCACTGGGACTTTCAGAATGGACTAAGTGATTTAAATAGGTGTTAGTTGCCCAGGCAGTTCTCAAAAATCTAGGTACTTAATGCATCTTTAGCTGTCTCAATGCCTTTGAAAATCAGCCTTTTAGTCACTTTTCAAACTGTGAAGAGAGGTCCAAATCACACACATCACTTAAAAGCATTGCTTGGTTTGGTGAGCAAGTGTGATGGAGAAAGAACAGTGAACAAAGATTAATTTCTGAAGTATCTTTACTTACTTTTTTGCTTCAACCCCCCAACTTAATAGAAAACAAAGACAAAATCAGTGGAGTTCCAGGCAGTTTTATTGAAGTTTATTATGGTTGGCGTGCCAAGGGCCTAATTCTTACCTACCCCAGCAGTTTTATGATCTCCTCAGAAATACCCTATGTATGTTCTTTCTGTTAATCTTTTTAGATGCCACATGTTCTTGCAGAGTAGTTATCTTTAAAATGTACACATTTCTTCCCTACCTATTCTGTGCAACAGTGATGTCCATCCTACCTCTAGTCACTCAAGATGCTGGTGGACTGGTTAGGACTCATTCTGTGTTACTAGTGCACCCCAAGCTGCTGTTCACTTTGTCACAAGTTTCAGGTTTACAAGAACTGGTGGGCTAGATTCATAGGGAGCGATAGCCAAAAGTTGTAATACAGTGGAAAACCACCAGTATTTGCAAGTGCTGTAATCTGAAAGAAAAAGATTGGCAAAAGCATTTTTCTTATCGTCATGGTTACTACTGCAGGTTACATTCTCTGAAGCTGCCTGATCTTACAGCTTCTTTTGCAGGGCTCTGCAAATACCCCAAAGAGCAGAACTTGGTAATATTTTTGTGTCATGGTTAAACCAAAGAAAACCCCTGTACAAGCGGTATCACAGTATCACAGTATGTTAGAGATTGGAAGGGACCTCGAAAGATCATCTAGTCCAATCCCCCTGCTGGAGCAGGAACACCTAGATAATGTTACACAGGAATGCGTCCAGGCGGGTTTTGAATGTCTCCAGGGAAGGAGACTCCACAACCTCCCTGGGCAGCCTGTTCCAGTGTTCCGTCACCCTCACTGAGAAGAAGTTTCTTCTCAAGTTTAAGTGGAACCTCTTGTGTTCCAGTTTGTACCCATTACCCCTTGTCCTATCATTGTTTGCCACGGTGTTGGCAGGGATTTCATAACCGGTGTTCTGCTAACGTGGTCACTGTGTTTATAGATGTTGCTGCAGTATTCACTATCATTAGTTACTTGGGTATAATTAAAGCAGTGATTAACCCTTTCACAAAGGCCATTCTGTGGTACTATATGACTTGTTATATATCAAGTGTAATGCTTTTGCCATCTTTATTTTATTTTTGAGGCAGTATAGAAAATCACAATAGTTGTCTTTTGTGGTACATAACAGGAAAAACATTGGCTAAGATGACTGGTTTGTGTGTTGAAGTCTTTTGTAGTGTACATAGGATAAGAAATGGAGGATTTTGTAGTTTCTCCCTAGTTCTCGTTATGCTAATAGAACAAGTAATGCAGTTGTGTTACTAAAGCTTTATGTTTTTAAGCAGTCTGTATTATACTGGGACTAGTGGTGTAGTTGCTCTAGAACCAGGACATGCTAAGTGTTCTATGTAAAATTTAAACCAATGTCCAACAACACAGAAGACAAAAATCTAAACCCACAAAATTGTTTATCGTAGTACTGGCTGTTAAGCTCAAGGTATCATATCTTTAGGTACTAACAAAAAAAAATTGATGGCTAAAAGAGCAATGTGAGTTCAGTGTTTTGATTTACTTGTGAGGAAGTATCCCGAGTATTTAAGGGTTTGGTCTTCCTTTCTGTCTACACTTTAAGTTCATAATTAAGCTCCTTCTGTAAAGTCAGTCCTCTGACCTCTCACATGATCTAATCTGGGACTGTGAGTCTTCCCAGTTGAAGGACAGGGCTGTCTTTTGTTTTGGGCATGTCTCGGTTTGGATTTTCTTTAGAGCTACTCTGTCTGATGTGGTGCTTCTGCCTCGAGGGTGTGAATTTCTTGCTGATAGGCAGCTCTTCAAATTACTGAGGTCTTGTAATGTGTGTTTTGGAGAGTAACAGGTTTGGGTCAGTTACTATAAAGATTTTGCTTAAACAGACATTTGTGCTTCAACCTTAATAACTTACGAGAGGTGAAACCATTTTAAGGCCATCAACTTCTGCCACAACTAGAGTGCATGCAGAATCTGTTGATGGGATTTCAAAGGTGAGTTTCACATCAAATTAAGGATAGGTGCTTGAATTAAGCGCTTGTTAAAGCTTTTTTTACTACCTGGGGTGTAGTTTGCCTCTTGAATTTGTATTGTATTTGACATTGAGCCTTACAGCTGGCAGAGATCTTATTATTTTGCTATCAGCTGATACAGTGTAGTGGTCACCCCTGTGGCATATTGTAATAAAATATCCTGCATAAAAACTGTAGCTTCATGCACCTGCAGAAATAAATACAAAATAAGTGTTTCTGAAAAGTCTCATTCATTTCAACAGAAAATGGAGAGCCACTAAAGCTGAATAAAATGCCTTAAGCCATATCTGTGAAGTGGTGTAAATAGAATACTTAATGTTAAAAAAGAACTGACTATTTAAATCAAAGTATCTAGGATGACATAATGCTCTCCTCCCATGGATTCACTTTTAAGTTAACCTAGTATAAGTTGCCTAATAATTACAGACTTATTATCCCATTGTTCACCTTTGTGTATAATTTTTTCTTTTACATCTATTACAGTATCTTTTATGGTGTATGTTCATAGAATCATAGAATAGTTAGGGTTGGAAAGGACTTTAAGATCATCTACTTCCAACCCCCCTGCCATGGGCAGGGACACCTCACACTAAACCATGTCACCCAAGGCCTCGTCCAACCTGGTCTTGAGCACTGCCAGGGATGGAGCATTCACAGCTTCCCTGGGCAACCCATTCCAGTGCCTCACCACCCTAACAGGAAAAAATTTCCTCCTTATATCCAGTCTAAACTTCCCCTGTTTAAGTTTGAACCCATTACCCCTTGTCCTGTCGCTACAGTCTCTAATGAAGAGTCCCTCCCCAACATCCTTATAGGCCCCCTTCAGATACTGGAAGGCTGCTCTGAGGTCTCCACGCAGCCTTCTCTTCTCCAGGCTGAACAGCCCCAACTTTCTCAGCCCGTCTTCATACGGGAGGTGCTCCAGTCCCTGATCATCCTCGTGGCCCTCCTCTGGACTTGCTCCAGCAGCTCCATGTCCTTCTTATGTTAAGGACACGAGAACTGCACACAGAAGTAATCTTAAAGAACAGGCTGCATAGGTCAGAGTATTTCTTAGAAACAGGTTTTGCTGGTAATCTGTGAGAATTGGTCGGTTACGTGATGCTAGCTATGTCTTGCTTCCAGTTGTTAAAATGCAAGACAGATAGCAATTAATTATTTTGCCAATATTTCTTTTTAGCATATTAAACTGTTTTGCAATGTGCATCGTTAACAAATGGGAGAAAGAAACTGGCTCATATGGTTATATGTGAAAAGGAGTGTTTCCCAATTCTGTCATTCTCATGAGAGGATGTTTACTCTTTAGAAACTCTGGGAATGTTCCGTTGCAGAAGATATCTGGAAGCTTATATTTAGAAAAGGGTGTATTTTATGGTAATTTTTTTAATTTAAAACGAGTTCAGGAGACAGCACAGCACTTAGGGCTGCTCATTGGAGTGTATCATTCGACATTAGAACATGGGTAGCACAGCACATGAGGTTAGCATGCGATTTGCATACTGAATAAGCTAAAAGTGCAAATACAAACAGTTTTGGACAGTAAGATGTTTTTTCCTGGTATTTAAAAAGTTGAGTCTGTAAAAGGTTAGCTAGTGCTGTAATTCTCATGAGTGTGTATGTGCTGTTGGCATTTAAATTAGGCATCTTTCTGTAGGGTTTAGGCTAGATATAAGGAAGAAGTTCTTTCCTGTGAGGTTGAGGCACTGGA